ACGATTTTCCTGCTTTTCCATTTTTACGAAAACCACAGAGGCGTCTTGTTCAGCGTGCTGTCAAACCTACACTAGCAAGGAGATCGGGCTGAAACTATAGCTACAAGCTATCCAAGGATGGTACTATAGAATGTCACCTCAAGGTAGGCCTAGTGGCGTCATCTCTTGGTTAGGCCGGAAACTTATCAATCCACCCTCGTATACAGGGTGTCCCAAGAAGTAGTGCTAAACGAAAGACCCCGAGGGCCTATTGCAATACCGCCATGTTTTCTCAGACAATGTTTTTTTATGGCGCCGCTATAAGTTCTAAAAGAAACTAACCAGAATTAGTTTTTCTTGGGTTTTAATTATTCTAGTCCAGGTCAGTAATTGGCTAATTAGTAGTTAAATCTTTTTTCTCTAATTATTTCACTATTTGGGAAGTAGACAAGGATTTAGACTTTTTCCCCTTTTTTAGTGGCGCAATCGGATTTCTACGTATAAATTAATTGGGTGCCATTCTTGCCTTCAATCAAGCAGATAAGAAAACAATAAATAATAGAAAATGCTTTATATGCTGCGTAACTTTTGCAATTACAGTAAAAAATTGTGTACCTAATAATTTTATCAAATATCAATACGCTCTTTACACGCCAATTTAAATTATGTTACGAATTGAGCTTCAAATGACTACTTGAGTAAATGAAGTAGGTCTGACGATGAGTCTGTAAACAATTTGAAAGATTCTGGACCCTCTAACGAGCACGAAGAACCCTTGAGGTTTGGAAACTACCTTAAATTTCTGTTTTCTAATTACGTTAAAAAAGAGAGCAACAAGCACTTCACAGAAGTACAGGATCGAGTGAGTCACGTTCTCCAAAAACTTCAAACTGCTACAGAATTTTATGAGTTGTTAGACTCCAAAAAGGCAAGGAGGCACCCAAGAGGATATTGTATTAATATTGGAGCTTTACCGTTTGAACGTTTAATAAACTTTTGTGGTAGGTAGGTACAATTTTCATTCGTAGTTTTCCGAAAAGTTCTAATAATTGTTTTATCTAAGTTTCTAAACTATTGTATATATCACTACACAGTCTTATTTTTACTTAATCATAATAAACCCATAAAAATCATAAAACCCATTGTGATGTATGGATGACAATAATAATGTTGTTCTACTTTCGTATTGGAACATATAAAATATAAAACTTACAAAGGCACAAATTTTCTTATTGATTCATAAGTTTCTTGCGCAATAAGAATTGCATGGTCGTTTCATTATTATTTTTGGTTGTTTTCTCCGGTAGCTACTCCTATTATTTATTAATTAAATTAGTTAATTATGTGTTACACAAGACGTTGTGCTAGGGGTTTTTTAATATATCATATTATGCATAATAATTTTTACGATTGGACAGAATTTTAATACGTTTCATCTTACTATAATATACAGCACCACCTAGGTACACTTCGAATATCGGGGAGTACTTTTTCGTTATTAATTATTAAATTGTTAATGTTTTTAAAAAGTACTTCGGCAACATGTTTCTGTTAGGAATGTTGAGTGGTTTTAATGGTTTAATTGACATTATCCGTTTGAAGACACTATGCTTGCAAGCCCAATCGGTGTATTTTGGCAGACAAGAAATTGTGAAGTATAAATACAATGGGTTTGGGATTCCCCTCCAAGTCCAATTCCTGAAATAGACAAACTTAATTGACGTGGGTGTGCATACATACGCTTAAAAGCTGAAAAAATACTTGAATTAATGTGTGTGAAAGTTACCTTAATCTAGAAATAAAGGGAAATTAAAAATTAATTACGAAAATAATTCATCGATACCTACATCAATAGTCGAAACGTTTTTCTTTACTGGACTTTATTCAAATTGCTGCTGTAAAAATTTCTTAAAAAATAGAAAGGAAAGTTAAATTTCCCATCAGTCGAAACGAAATGAAATTTTTAAAGTTTTCAACTACATTTTGCTGTTGAATAATTTATTAGACAAGTACTTAAGAAAGTCAAAGAGAAATTTTAAGTATATTCATTGTATATTCACCATTGAACTTTCTTCTCCAAAATCCAACCATAAAAGCCGGTGGCCGTCGTCAGATGAACTTTTTAACCTATCAAAAGGGTATCGCCACAACGTCCTCGATCCTGTCCCTGCTTCTAAAAGGGTAAAACCATTTTCGAAATGTATAACTAGCTGACATCGACGTCCTTTCCAAATACATCCTAAAGAAATAAAGACAACGTGAAATTAAAATTTCAAATTTCGGTATTAAGGTCTTTATAACTTCTTTGCTCCAATACGTCTTCAAAATCGGACAGTTTTGATTTTGTTGTGAAGAACTAACGTTCAGGACCCTAACGAAGAATTCTATTTGAAGGGGGGGGGCAACCGATTAACCAACTATCAAGTTTATTAATAATAATTTGAAGTGCTTTCTTTATGTTTGTTTGCTGTTTAATTCATTATTTGAAACTTCTTAATGGTTTGACTCAGGACCTTGTAACTTCTTTGCTCCAATACGTCTTCAAAATCGGACAGTTTTGATTTTGTTGTGAAGAACTAACGTTCAGGACCCTAACGAAGAATTCTATTTGAAGGGGGGGGGGGGCAACCGATTAACCAACTATCAAGTTTATTAATAATAATTTGAAGTGCTTTCTTTATGTTTGTTTGCTGTTTAATTCACCATCTGAAACTTTTTAATGGTTTGCCTCAGTTATTTATCTTAACAGCTTTTTACAACAATAGTTAAGTACGTTAAAGCATTCTTTGATTAACAAAGTGCTTCAGTTGGAACTAGTATTAAGCCTGCTTTATTATGAACTTCGTACATTTAAAGGAAAAATGGAAGAACAACAATTTTTTTTGTGTTAATATTTGATGTATATTAGAATCATTGGCAATGTCAATAAACTGTATTATCATCAATAGAATTTTAGGGGAGCATTGCTGGATATCGCTTTTAAAGATTTAATGTGTGTTTTCTCCTTTCTACCCTTAAACTACTGATTGAACTTTGCAAGAAAATTGACTATTAAAATCATATTTATCATTCGTTTGTAACTTTTTTAGCTTCTTTAATCGGCTGTTATTAAACTTCAAATATTCTTTTGCAAGCCATATTGGTTTAATTATAATTAACTCTGGTTTAATCTTGTTTGCTGATAAGCAATTACGCTCGTCATCCATAATTTCCCCATTAATAAAAAAGACGCGTGCACCGTAAAAATTTTGAATTCATCTGTTTTTTAATAATTCCCTAGTAATTCATCCCTGTCTGATACTCATCTTAAATAACATTATATTTAATTGGCAATTAATGTAATTAATATTTACAGAAAAGCTTTCAGTTTGTGGAAACTTTTTGTCGGTTTTCTTTAGAGGAATTTTCTGCTTTGTCTCTTTTGCTGTACGAAACAGTATCAAAATAATTATAAAGAAAAAATTATTCTCTTTTATTTTCCTTCTTGCTATAAACAGAGATAATCAAGCCAACAAAGTAAATTCTAAACACAGAACATATTTTTCCTGAAACCAATTAATTCCATTACGAGAGCGTGCCTTTTTTACATTCTGTTTTTCTTCTTTTTTTGTACATGAAAAAATATACTTTTGCTACCTCCCGTTAATTAGTGGTAACTATTTTCGGATTATTTAATCTGCAAGGATAGATAATGGTTTAGCGGGTAGTGGCTGAACCAAAGACGTTGTTGTAGCACGTACTCTAAGCAATTTAATTTGTTGATGTAAGGTTTTCAATATCCTGCCTTAGTTGGTACTAATTTTAAGGTACAATATCGATCGTTAATTTTAGATAGGATGTGTGCATCAAGGTTAACTAACCGACTTATAAAGTTTGCTGACGTAATTCCGTTGTTTAGCGTCCTGTTTTTAATTAAATTCCTAATCAATAATTCCAAAAGTCACAAAAATACGGTAATAAATAATAAGAGAAGGCATCTCACTGTGGCAAAAATTGAATCAAAATCAAATTGCAAAACAAGAATTTGAATAATTAACTAATTTCATTATTATTACCTTCCCTTAAAAGGTTGAGGAACAAGAAACAGATCATGATAAGGTCATCAGTCCTAAGACTGGTTGGACACGCACCTCTACTCCTGAGCTAATCTTCACATTTCCCTAAAATTAGAACATCCCACATCCTTAACTATTTGCAGTAGGGAATAGAAAGATAGGAGACTAAAAAAGTAACTGATTTTAGGTATCTAGGAAGTCAGATAAGTCAGGACGGAAGGAGTAGTAGGAATATGACGCAGATGATAGCGCAGGGTCGAGTCGCCTTCAATAAAAAGAAGTCACTTCAATGCTCGCGAACGATTAATTTAGAAATTTAGAAAAAAATTGTTAAAGGTGTAAGTTTGGAGCGCGGCGAATGATGATGACACCGTGGATAGAGAAGGTTAGAAATGAAGAGGTATTAGAAAGAATTGGAGAACAGAGGGCTTTATGGAAGTCAATAAGAAATGAGCGAGATAGGTTGGTAGGACAGCTTCTTAGGCGTGAAGGTCTAGTCAGAGACATATTAGAAGCATAAACAGGAGTTAGGAGGTGTAGAGGTAGACCTACATTAGATTACTGTTCGCAAATAGTTAAGGATCCCGGGATAAAAATGTTCAGTCTCTCAGAGTCTCTGAAAGCGAGACTCGAGTCTCTGTCGCTCATCGAGTCTCACTGGTGTACCTGAGAGAGACTGTCGAAAGACTGTCAAAAAACCCGTTTAGCGTCTCTGAACGAGAGACTCGAGTCACTCATAGAGAGATCCTCATTTCGTATCCAGTCTCTGAACGAGAAACTCGAATCTCTCAATAAGTGGTGTCTTGACAGATATGGTTAAAATTTTCTAAGTTCAACATATTTCAGAGATCCCAGTCTTTCTACGAGAGACTCGAGTCTCTCAATTTTTCAGTTTTATTCATTCAGTCTCTCTGTGAGAGACTCGAATCTCTGAATTAACAATTTTATCGTTCGAGTCTCTTATACAGAGACTGTCAGAGATCCATAAAAACACCTAGGCAATAACTGAGAGACTGTGAAAGACTGTGAGAGACGCTCTTAAAGACGCTGAAAGACTCTGAGAGACTGAAAATTTTTGTCTGGGGTCTGGGTTGTTCTAGTTTTAGGGAAATGCGAAGATTTGCTTAGGATAGGAAAGAGTGGAGGTGCGTGTCCAACCAGTCTTAGGACTGACGACCTTATGATGATAACAATGCACTTTTCCGTTATAAGATGTAAAATAAAACAATCGACTTCATCTTTATTAAAACGAATGTGAAAAGAAGCGAACTTACTGCATACAAGTTCCTTCTGCGTGACAGCGCTTGCATGACTCCCGTTGACTAAAGCTTTGGCCCATGCCGCCAGATCCCTGTGCGTTTCGGCGCGTAGTTTGTGCGTGACGACGCCCTCGGCCGTGGCGCAGCGGATGCTGAATTCCGGGAGTTCGGTCCGTTTTCCGGATCCTACGAGACGCGTCGCAATTAAAGGATAGGCCTCCGCAGGCGCCCGCCACGCTTCCAACGACCACGGGGCGCACTCGTAGAAACGGAGCTCGCTGTCCGTCACCGCAGCAAACACCGAAGACCATTTGTCCAGTTCTTCGGAACTCTCCGAACTTGATAAGTTTCCCTGCAGAACAGGAAAGGAAGTTTTAAGTGCTTCTGTCCCCAATGTCCGCTACTTGTGTACGTAATAATGCCTCGGACGGATAGAAACTTTCACCCTACCGATTCAATTCAAAAAGGCAGAAGTGTATCAGTTTCGGACCCTTTAGGTTCTGCATGGGGAACGATTTTCCCGGTAATCAAATAAAATGAACTTCTGTATTTTCGAATTCAATATTTTATAAACAAGAAGAGAGGACGAAATTTATATATTTTTTTGCGAACATTCTATAACAATGAATTTTCTGTAATCAACACAAGTTAAGCTAATAAACAATTTCAGTGTTATTGCTAAATTGCATTAAATTTAAAAGAAATAGGTGAAGTTGTAAAAAATTGAGAAAACCTAAACCGTCAGTATGCCCTCGGATATCCCTCAGAATATGCGTCAGGGAATGTACTATCTATCTATCCAAAAATATGAATATTTGGAATTAATTGTGGGCATACAGTAATGAGTATCTCGGAGATCTCCGGTAGTAACCAATATACTGTGTAAAACACACCGCAAACGCAAACAACTAATAATGTACAGTACAGAGAGAATGCAGGTGCAGTAGAGTGGTCGTCCGGCGGCAATCTCTTCTCTATGGGCCTCGAAAACTGCAGCTAGCAGAAGTGCAGCGGCCACGCGCCTAGCTCTTCACTTGGACATTAATCACACGTGTGTTAAGGCCACAAAAAGGACGATTTAAGACGTTAAAAAGTGCTTCAAGCAAATAGGTGGGCATAATAATTTTAAATATGTACTTTTTCTTTATGTATTGTAAAACAAAAATTAATAATAATTAATTATAATAATAACAGAAATTCCATTCATTTTGTGAGAGAAATCTCGACGATTGACTTACCTCATACCTGGGTTTTCGTAATAGCCAGCCGATGTGCCTTAAATCGGGAATGACTCGCGACGCTTCATGAAGCGCCGCAGTGGTAAGGATTGCTAGCGCGGAATGCAGGGTATTGAACCAGCATGCCGCTTCGTTGGCATCGGATGCTCGCAGGACACAGCTGTGAACCCCGTCTGGGGAATGGAGTTCGATTGTTCTGCCCTCTGAAAGCCAGACAAAAATTGACCTCAGTCTATATTGCCTTGACATTTATCAACATTCATTAATAAAAAGTGATATACCTATAGCAAGAAGTAGAACATAAATGCTTCGAACTGTACGAAAACGCTTTTGAAAAAAGTTCAGGACCAGTATTAATAGCCAATAGAAAATCGAAAATGTCATCATTTAAGTTCTGTTAGTTAATCTTGGTCAGATTAAATATTATCTGTACATAAACCAACAATAAATAAAACACTTGGTTTAAGTTTTATTAAAAGCCATTTTGAAGGAGGTTTTACTGATAATCACGTAATTATTGAAACGCGTCAGGCTTAACAGTAAATCCACCAAGTGTCGACTTACAATTCCATTTTGCTAATTAATCTACACATAGGTAGTGAATTTATCGTCGATTTAGTGTTTACAGAAATAATATGCAACAAATTGCAAAAAATTCAACCGCTAAACTTGATAAATATTGAAATGGACCAGATAGAATCGATTTGACTAGACTTGCAGAATATTTATTAAAACCTTTTCTAATTTGCCAAACATTGGATTCATTTTGGCGAAAGAATTGTAACATTTAAGTAGATATTCTCTGAAAATTTCTGATCAGTTTTATTTCATTTCAAGGGATTTTTATCGAATGCAGATAAGGTTTTATAGGTAGATCCTTGTGTAATTCTCCTTCTTAAACTCAAGTTTTCAAAAAGGCCGTCTGTACAGTTAAAATGACTCTATTTTCACTGACTTTCTATCTTTGATACAAACAAATCATTACTAAATGAAGTATATTTTTACATTTAAAATTTTTAACTGGTTAAATCATATAACGCTGATAGCACCAGCCAGCATAACGAGATAACACTAAATTAAACTGCAGAACTTTATGAAAAATCTTAGAATATGAAATAAGAAACTTAGGATTATGGATTCTTCTTCTGTACGAACTTTTTGAAAGCGGGTATGATTAGTGGGATTTTGTTTTCATTATTTCCCACTTCTTTCCGCATTTACGATAATTGCTACTGCATTGTTTGTCGTTTATTTTCCTCCATTGTTTTATGAGGAAAGTTTCTTTAGTTGGAGTTTAAACAGTTGACGTAAGGGTATCTAATTCAATGTCTATTGACCTGTTCGAGTTCTTCGATCGCCCGGAGTTACCGTGCTGCTAACAAAGCTGGGGAAACACTACACTTTTACTTGGGTAATTGGATACCGGTAACTTGCTAATCCTGAACTTCGAAATCCTTTTAGAGTATTCGCTCCTGATACTAGTGCTGCTATGGAAGAGTAAACAGTTTATCGTTTGTATTCTTCTCCCTTCCTCGTTGAGAGAGGATCGGCTGAAAAGAACGCTCTCATCCAGAATAATAAATTACTCTAACAAATAACGAACGTTAAAATTAATTCTGAAGATGGAAATTAAAATTATTTACTTACAGGGGATCTATATACATTGCAAAGGTTTATTTTGATATTTCGATTCGTAACATCGAATTTATGGATATTGTATTATCCTTAAAAAACTGACAATTCAACTTCATCATTACCTAAGAATTTTATAAAATATCGTTTCATAAATTAAGTTGTACCTATGAACACCAGAGGCATTAATTTCCATTCCATTTAAAATTCAAATTTCCTCTCATTAAGCCCGAATGGACTCTTTCAAGTGGTAGACACTCCGGTCATTTCTGCCATCCGATAACATACGAGGGTGGATTGATAAGTTTCCGGCCTGACCAAGAAAAACAAGGTTTTTAAAATTTTTTTTTTTTTATTTCTCAACATAATCTCCTCCAAGGCTGATACATTTCTCATAGCGGTGTTCCAGTCTATTAATGCCATCTCTATAGACTGATTCGTCAAGCTCCTCAAAATAACCATTTACAGCTTCGATTACTTCTTCATTGTCCGCAAATCTCTTACCGCCAAGCCATTTTTTGAGATTAGGGAACAGAAAATAGTCACTCGGGGCTAGGTCTGGAGAGTAAGGAGGGTGCGGCATCAATTCAAACTTTAGATCGTTGATTTTAGCCGTCGCAACGATTGACGTGTGCGCTGGTGCGTTATCGTGATGAAACAAGATTTTTTTCTTCGCCAGATGAGGTCGTTTAATTTTCACCTCGTGGCTCAAACGTTGCAATAAGTCTGCGTAGTATTGACCAGTGATAGTATTACCCTTTGCAAGGTAATCAATGTATATAATACCTCTTGCATCCCAAAAAACAGTAGCCATAACCTTGTTCGTCGAAAAAATTGTTTTTGCCTTCTTTGGAGTTGGTTTCCCTGGTCCAATCCACTGTTTAGACTGTTCTTTGGTTTCAGGAGTGTAGTGGTGGACCCACGTTTCGTCAACGGTTACGAATCGACGCAAAAATTCGCTTGGATTACGCTTATACAATGACAAATTTGCGGTAGAAATGTTTTTTCGAATCAATTTTTGGTCGACTGTTAGCAAACGCGGCACCCATCTTGCACAGAGCTTTTCCATATGCAAATGTTGGTGCAAAATATGTTGCACACGTTCATATGACATCTTACAGGTCTCAGCTATCTCACGCACTTTCAATCTGCGGTCTCCCAGCACTATTTGATGAATTTTTTCGATCATATCTGGAGTTGTGACCTCAACGGGGCGTCCTGAGCGAGGCCCATCAGAGGTGCTCACACGACCCTTTTTAAACTCGGAAACCCACTGCTTAACGGTTGAATATGACGGGGAGGATGTCCCCAGTGTTGAGTCCATCTCTTTTTTAATTTCCTTCGGCGTTAACCCCTTCAAATAAAAGTATTTGATGACAGCACGATTTTCCTGCTTTTCCATTTTTACGAAAACCACAGAGGCGTCTTGTTCAGCGTGCTGTCAAACCTACACTAGCAAGGAGATCGGGCTGAAACTATAGCTACAAGCTATCCAAGGATGGTACTATAGAATGTCACCTCAAGGTAGGCCTAGTGGCGTCATCTCTTGGTTAGGCCGGAAACTTATCAATCCACCCTCGTAAACTTATTTGTTCCAACATGCACTTAGCTAATCAATCATGTGTAATGCAAACTTAGAAATGTATTTACATATCTGTACACACACATATGTATGTATGTATGTAGGGATGTAATTACAGATGTATACACACACGTATAGGTACATTTGTAGATACGAACATTAGAGGAATTTATTGCAGTTTCCGACCTAACACAAAGCCACTGAGTTTAACGAATCTGAATAATAATTATGTCGTACAATCGGTTCGGTTCAGTTTTGGCCGGACATTGATTGCCTCATGTTATGCAAACAAACCCATTTCGACTAAATCACTTGAACCTGATGTTTGCACACGATTTGTAACAAAGAGTCAAAAGTAAAAAGTTATCAACAATAGAAATATGAAAATCTGTAATAATTCTGCAAAAAAATAGAGAACAAAAAGAAATTCGTCTTCATGAAATAGAAACGGTATCTACAAATAGTAAAATTAGAAGTAATTGCTAATTTTTGATATCTACGAAGTCAGATAACTCAGGATGGAAAAAGCAGTAGAGATATAAAAACAAAGGATAGCGCAGGGTCGAGTCGCCTTTACAAAAAGAAGTAATTTAGAAATTGTTAAAGGTGTTTGGAGTGCGGCGTTGTACGGGTGCGAAACATGGACGGTGGGCGCTGCGGAAAAGAAAAGGTTAGAAGCGTTCGAAATGTGGTGTTATAGGCGAATGATGAGGATATCGTGGATAGAGAAGGTTAGAAATAAAATCAATAACTGGTAGGTTGATAGGAGACCTCAGGTATGCATGGCTAGCTAGAAATATGGAAGAAGCAGGAACAGGAGTTAGGAGGGGTAGAGGTAGACCTAGATGAAATTAATGTTCATAAATACTTAAGGATGTGGGATGTTCTGATTTTGAAGGAAGAGCGAAGGTGCATGTTCAATCAATCTTAGGATTGAAGACCCTACGATGACCATAATGATAATGATTCATTTAGAATCAGAAGAAGGTTGGCAAAGTAAGATTATTAAGACGCTCGATGTAGAAACCATATGAAAAAAATAATTATAAATTCATTTAAACAATGTAGCACGGTACAATTTTACTCTCAACTGTCCAAAAGAAATATCTATAATTGCAAAAAAGATCAGCGGTTTTGAAAGGTGATGTGCGATGGCAGACTTTCCGGAATTAAAACTGGTGCGGGCATTTTGTGAAAGCCAATTTTCCACATAGCGTAAAATCACTTTTCCAGCCCGAAACATAATATAATGCGAACTCCATTCGATTTTTCGTCAAAAGGTGGATATAGACAACGTGCAGCCAGTCTCCATTCAATAGCTTTTCAATCTTTCCGAAGCAAACTTTTACTCGCTTGATTGTTACACATTGTCGGTTATAAATCCAAATAAATGGCTGCTTCATAATTATCATGCTAGAGGTGCAGTTTGTATAATGGAAACTCGATTTTCAGCGACATATTTGTCAACCCGATTCGTGTGTGTTCCCGACGTAATTGAATTTCTATACTTTTTGTTATTAAGGGTAAACCTATCCATAAATAACGCAGATAATTGCGTTTTATATTTCAGAGCGTTTTCTCTTAAAACACTATATGACATTTCATTATCCGTAAAGTCGTAATTTCCCTCATCATCATCATCATAAGGTCGTCAGTCCTAAGACTGGTTGGACATGCACCTCCACTCTTTCCTATCCTGAGCTAATCTTCGCATTTCCCTACAATCCATATCCTTAACTATTTGCGAACAGTAAATCTAATCTAGGTCTACCTCTACCCCTTCTATCTTCCGTTTCTGCTTCTAATATGTCTCTGATTAGACTTTCATGCCTGAGAAGGTGTCCTACCAATCTATCTCGCCTATTTCTTATTCACTTCCATAGAGTCCTCTGTTCTCCTATTCTTTCTAATACCTGTTCATTTCTAACTTTCTCTATCCATGCTATCCTCATCATTCTTCTGTAACACCACATTTTGTAACGCTTCTAACCTTTTCTTTTCCACCCCGCTCACCGTCCATGTTTCGCACCCGTACAGCGCCATGCTCAAAACATACACACCTTTAACAACCTTTTTCGAATTTCTGTATTAACCGTTTGCGAGCATAGAAGTGACTTCTTTTTATTGTTAACGACTCGACCCTGCTCTACTACTCCTTCCGTAATTTCCCTGACAATAATAAATGATATTGGCCCATTCTTTGAAATGTTGACATAATCTTTCTCAGTAAAAAACTACCACTATAGAGTGAGGATTTGTTCGGGCAAATTGACAAACATTGATAAGCTTTAGAAACTTCTAATTGAAAAGTTTTTAGTTTACCTTTGAGTGCTGAACTAATGGAAATCTGCTATTGACATTTCAAAAACTGATTTTCGTACTAACCACAAATCGAATATTTATAATGCACATGAAATTCAATAGGCAAATGTTCATTTCTAGGAAGCTAATGTAATAGTTTTTGTGTTCCTTGCAGGAAATATCGCAGAGTAATTGCAATTCTGTTCGGATGTCTGTTCTGGATCCGTGAAGAAATAAAGACATGCAATTCCGAGGATCTTGAAGAAAATATTGATTGGTTTTAAGAGAAAGATTTACTTTCGTTGGAAGCCCTCATTAGAGAGAGGGTGCGGATATAACGTAAGTACCAATACTCAGAAGTAATATATAGAGTCTTTTGTCAAATTCATGATTTCACCACGCTAATTGGACGGCATTAAAATGAGAATCTAATAGGGACTTTCCCGTTTTACAGAAAATAATTTTATAGGGTTCTTAGCTTTTATTCATTCTTCTGATGTTATCAAGTTTTTTTTAATTATAAAGAAGTGGAAATAAGCGATTTTTGAATACTTATTAGAATCAACTTCTGGCGTTTGTAGATACAGTTACGTTTGCATTAGTGAATTAATTAACTTCCCATTAGGAAGTTATTGTAATTGGGTCGAAAAGTGAAATCGGAATTTTCATTATATTTCCACGTTTTAACATATTAGTAGCATGCTAGCCAATTTTTTTGATGATGTGTGTATGTACGTACGTACGTACGTACGTACGTACGTACGTATGTACGTACGTTCGTATGTCAGCATTTTTTTCGTTTTCGATATCTCAAGAACGGATTGAGATATCGCCCTCAACCAAAATTTTTTCGAAAGATATTATCATAATGAAGATCTGAAAGAAATTTGAACGAAATCGGTCAAGCCGTTTTTTTTTTATAAAAAAAAAAACGAATTAATTACAAACAATTTAATTAAAATACGTTCTAATCTAATCACAACAATGAAGTTACGGAATCAATAATAACGAAATATCATTATTCAAGACAGGGAATAACATATTATAATAACATATTATAATAAAAATTTGTTTATAACAAAATGAATTGTTATAAACAATCGATAAACAATAAAAAATAGTATTTACCAATTGACTGATGCAAGTACTCTATCAATTCGGTTTTCTCAGACGAAATACTGTTTCTTATGGGTTTATAAAATGACGAACTCTCAAACATTGTTTGTTATTTATTATTGTGCCGCGTTTTTTTCAAACTTTAGAAACGAATGTACTTTACAATAACTGTATTATCTAATGGGAAGTTAGTCGTATTAGCACCGACCAAAGCGTGCTCAGACCAATTTTTTTTGAATTGATTTTACCCACTAAAAATGACCTCAAATTAATGCGGAAAAATTGTTGCTGCTGATATTCCCTCGTCGGGAATCGAACCCCGACTCCTGGTTCTACGCATCAGTACTCTAGCACCGAGCTACTACCGTGAACCTCCAGAAAATTTTATTTCGTGTTAATATAATTATTAAAAAATAATAAAAGGTAATTTTATTCTTTTTTTCTTTTAGAACAATTTTTATTATATTTTTATTGTTAGTAACGTTCGTAACTATTATTTCATGTTTACGTTTTTTTATTAAGCGCGTGCGAAACTGAATCGGATGTGGAACACATAAAAAAAGACATTATCTATACATATATATATACAATTTCCTTCCGGATTGAGGCTCATAAGAAGGGTCATGGAAAGACGAATGTGTGGAGAAGATGTGGTAAAAAACGGAAACGACAGAAATAGATCAAATTGTCACTTAAATACCGGCATTGTGCTAAATCGCTACAAACGAAATTTCCTCCTATCATATAAAAAACACCGGTCTTATATAAAACTTCCTGATTTCCCGCAAGATGTTATCATCGCACTGAATCAAATGATCAAGCTTGTATTGTATTCGGCCATTCGTGAAAAGTCTACGAAATAAGAGACTTCTGGTACTATTTTAATGATTTCGTATAAATACGTACCTATTTTTTAAAAACAAATGAACGAAATCTCCCAAAATTACTTGGGTATATGTTCAATACTTCTTTAAAATTTGAAAACCCGAACGGGTTATTTCCGAAGCATCTTTTGTCTCTTCTAAATGCATTCCCCTTTATTATTGCTTTGAACGTTTCACAATGATATGTAAGATTTATGTGAGACAGTTCGAAGGGGTATTTCGATTGTGACTGAAGATATTAAATTTATCCAGTACCTTCAGTTATAGTTGTGAAATCGATTGTAGAGTTCGGGCTATAAACGATCGTACCATTTTTATAGAATCATAAAATCAACTATTCAAGATAAAATTGAAACTTTCTGGTATCAAATACGTACATACCATAGTCGCTCCATTGATGGCAAATAGTATTAAGGGTAATAGTATATTTTCATCCATTGTGTATTAGTAGATGCATTTGCAATTATATCCATATCGATCGCAAAGGGTTATAAGTAAATCAATCAACTACAATTTTCGAAGTGAAACTTTTTTACGCACGGTAGGGTAAGTTCGTTTCATGCGAGTTGCTTTGTAACGAAATCATGCAACGGATGTCCCCCTCTACTCGGCCACGTAGTCGAGTTTGGAGTGGGGATCACTTGAGTCGTGAGCGCGCTTCTATCCAACGTTTGTTACAGGCAACTCCGGCATGTATGGTGTAAAATTTAAATTCATAGTGTACAAATAATACCATTAAACCAATTCCTTAACCCCTATCCCGGTATGTTTGTGTGTTTGAAGAAGTTTCATTTTAGTAGCGTGTTGTATAATTACACGTTGTATTTTTTTCTTGTTATTAGTGGCGATAATGCGAGAGGGGGATGCCGGGTTACATTACATTAACTGACAATACTGGCTGGATTTTTCCAATAACTTTTTATTTAAACGACATTTTCATTCAAGTAATTCATTTTTTGTAGTAATAGCTCTATAGGTACATGCACTTATTTATATTGTTACATAGTATCCAAAGTCGAGGGTCGATAGTCAAATTCAAGATCACAATGGTGCTGGGTGGTGAAACGGCTTACGGTATTCACTCATCCTGTGATAGCTCCCTGCCGTTTTTACGTTTCCCAATTCCCATTTCTAAATATATAAAATTCGTTTCTATATAACATGGTGGAGTAGTTATATCTCGAAATAAACATATAAATTCGCCTCTTTATGACAGTATATATTCACAAACGCTTATTTAATTGACACTGAATTTATATCACCCTATGCAAGTTTGTATTCGTATTGTTTTAATGTCACCTGTTCGTGTATCCACCATTTCGAATTGCTAGAGATAAAAGATGCCACCAATCGATCAATGCCCATGGGGTCCGTCCGTACCAATGCTTTTTAATGTATGCATATAAGTTGATGAGTTTTGTAAAACTTATTATTTCAACGGACCGTTGTTGTTTGATAACCCTCCAGGGCCTTCTCATCCTCTCATTTACCAGTCGTGTCCATTGACTTGAGTAAGCATTCAGAACCGTTTCAGTATTTCGTCCCCTGTAGCTCGGGAAATGTAAAGTGCTCATTAGAAATTTAAATTTTCGCAGTTTTTCTGTGAACCGAAGCCTGAAGTTATTTGTTTTCAATCACAACAACGGGATTCCTTTGGTTTGAGACTCCCACAGTCTGAGACTTAAAAGCAAGAAAGAAAATGGTAAACAGATCTCTTGCCAGTTGATCCATTTTCAAATCGATCACGTTGGTTATTCTTCTAAAATTTATCTAACATGTGATATTGAATAAGTGATTCTAGCACTATAGTCGATTGTTGCTTATTATCATCATAACGTCGTCAGTCTTATGATTGGTGGAACTCGCACCTAAAACTAGAATATTCCACACCTTTAACTACCTATTTGTGAACAGTAATCTAATTTAGATCTTCCCCTATCCCTCTCAACTCTTGTTCCTGCTTCGAATATGTCAGTAACTAGCTCTTTATGCTTCAGAAGGTGTCCTACCAACCTATATGGGTTATTTCTTATTACTTCTCAAAAAATTGTAAAATGCAGTGGAATTCGCTTATTATGACTCCGTCTATATTAACCAACCGCTTAATATGAAGCAATTGCAGTGTTAAGTTTGGTTTTCATATTAAATTCTGTATAGGAAAGTTTGGATATAATGTCTCCGTTTAAAATGACATATCGTTTATTATAACTGATTCTCAAGAAATCATATCCGGCTATAGTGACCCAAATGATTAATAATAACATTTTCGCTCATTTTTCTGACCCTTCTTATGTATATTGATATTACAATTCATCGTTCTTTTTCTGTTTCTGTTAATAAATATATACAATTTGTAGTTTTTCTCTCTATTAAACTAAATAACTAACCAAAATAGAAAGTTATTTATTTTCTTAGACTACACTTAGTATGACGTGTTTGTCATTTTCCTTTGATGTCATTATAAGCGAATTCTACTGTATATTTAAAAATACACGTAAAATACTCATCCAATTTGCACTTATTGTCTGTGAATTCCAAACTATTTCAGGCAATCTCTTCTGTATTCACAACTTTTACGATGATAAACCATTAATATCAAAGTAACAGAATGTGTTGTAGCCCGCTCGAAAAAGTTGAAGTGTTGTTAAAATTCGTAAAAAGGTGTAGCGTCATCATCTCCCGTGGAAAGCTTTTAAAAAAGTAAAGTCGTATTTCCGGTTAGTGAGAGGTTATAAATAATGTAATACACTATATAAGGAATCTTCCCGCTCGTAAGTTGGGTAGAGAATAATATGTTGTGTGTGTGTGTGTGTGTGGGTGGGTGTGTATATTATAGCCGGCAGACGTCAAGTCTTTTGAAGGAACTCAATTTCCTGAGGAGATCGTCTTAGGTCCTAATCTCCTGACCAAAGATCCGTCTCAAAGGAGAACAAGGCTATAAACGAAACCGTTATTTCGCGTATCTGCCAACGTTTAAAATCTACATTGTAAGGTTTTATGTAAGCTGTTCAAAAGTAAAGAGTGTTAGGGTAACGGTGGCAATTTGAATATCGGTGGTGGTTTGCGGAAGTAATTATAGGACATGTGGGGGTACTTGTTACGCACACTTGAGAATCTACACGCACTTTTACTATACACAAAGTTTATTTACAATATATGTTGCCAAAATATACATATAGAAAAAGAATGACAAATATACAACAAAAGGAATAAAATACATATGAGGATCACAAAAGAAATGTGAATGGACTATGAGACCAGAGCTCCCTCTCCCTTGCCGCTGGTGGATGGAATGTTGGAGTTAGCCAAATGTAAAAAAATAAAAGGAAATTTTAACGG